TTTAAGATACAGGTGAAACTCGAATAATTAGAATATCGTGCAAAGTTCATTTATTTCACTAATGCAACTTAAAAGGTGAAACTAATATATGAGATAGACTCATTACATGCAAAGCAAGATAATTCAAGCCATGATTTGTCATAATTGTGATGATTATGGCTTACAGCTCATGAAAACCCCAAGAACCCCAAATCCACAACCTCAAAAAATTAGATTATTACATGCAATCAATAAAACAAGGATTGTACATAGAACAATATCGGACCTCTGAAAAGTACAAGCATGCATATGTACTCAGTACTTGGTTTGGGCCCCTTTTGCAGCACTTACTGCAATTACTTTTGCACGATATTCTAATTATTCGAGTTTCACCTGTATGCTGTGTGAATGAGAAAAGATAACAAACATACAGAGGGGTTTTCTCAAATCTGACTGCAAACGTGGTTATGTATTTCCAATTTTGCAAAGTGAAAATTGAGAAAAACCCCTCTGCATGTTTGTTTAGCAGACCTTTGCAAGCTTTTCTTTCAGTTTCAGTAATAGCAAACTCTGACTGTCCCTATAGAAAGACTAAGGACAGACTGAGTTCCTCATCATTAACATACAACATTTCTTGATCTTTAACCCTGTGTGAGAGCAGATATTGTTCAAAAACTGGCCTTTGATCATTTAGAAATATTCTTACTGATACTGCACCTGAATCTTAAGTGTAATGTACAAATGGAACAAGTTATAGAATAAATGTATACTTTTTTTCTACAGTAACTCCAAGTACACGGCCGCTGCTGTAGTCGTGTTCTTGGTACCATTTTAAACAGTAGACGATTGCTGTTTAAAGTGACCCTGCATCTTTATAGGCGCGTCACTGTCTTGTTAGCCCCCTATGTGATAGCAATAAACTTAAGTGTAAAAAAAAAAATGTAAGTTCCCCTCTGCCCACGTCCACGCACATACAGCGCAAACGCGCATCGGATGCGCCCATGTGCTAAAATTGAGCCACACATGATACATATCGACGCGAGGATCGGAGTGAGAGCAACAATTCTAGGCCCATCAATCACTGTTAGCAATTAATTGATGAGCCGTCAAAGCCTTTAAAGCGTCGCCTATGGGAAATTTTGGTTATTGTAGTTTTTTGCGGTTTCACGGACGCACGCAAGTTAAGGCTTGACATGTTTGGTATCTATTTACCCGGCGTGGCCCTATCGTTTATATTTTACTAAACAATTGGGTATTATATTCTGTTTCTGTGCACTAAATTTAATTTTAGTGTATGCTATCCTAGAAATACTTGTTTGATAAATATTTGATAAATATTTGCGCCAATACCGTGCGGCATAAAAAATTGCAACTAGCATCTTTTAGCAACTATCATCAATTGTTTGGGGGTCTGAAGCTGTTTTCTAGCCAAAAATTCAGATTTTATCATGTGTGTGCAAATGTAAGAAATTGCTCCAAGCAGCAGTGGTTAAACAGTTATCAAATTAGAAAAAAAAAAGTGCATTTTGTCTACAAATTGCATAGAAAATTAAATCTTTTTTGCAAGACAATTGTACCAAAAGAAAGCCTTCTTGGTCCACCCAAAACCCAAATTAAATAAGGGATGCCGCACTGAATATGAATGTAAAATGCTGTCATCCAGTATTATCTTTATAAAGTAAATAAGTAACACAATGGCGCTGTTGTGTGTGTCAGTGCCATTGTCAGCGCTGTTTTGTCACATGATGCAGAGCCAAGGATAAGTCTTCCCAACACTCCATGCTGAGCGCTGTTCTGATTACAAGGTCTGATGGGAAAGATGTATTGCCCACTGATGTATTAGTTCTAGGTAGGTTGCCTTCAGAGCTGCAGGAAGCACAACCAGTGCTACATCACTGAACACCAATAATTGGCGTCGTACACCTTGGGCATGTAAGGAGAGTCTAGGTCTGGCAATGCCCATACATTACAAATATAAAAATAATTTAGGGCCTTTTTAACGTAACTCTAAACTGGTGAGTAGTATAGGTTTTTTTATGCGATACCTACTTAAATGTTTCTGTTTCGCAAGTTCACACAGTTTGAAGTCTAGAACTATTTGTTATATATAAACTCAACAGGGTTATATTTAATATATGTTTAGGGGATTGTATTCTATTTGCATGCATTAAAATAATGTTACCATATTTGTTTAGCTAAAACAAACATTTGATAAACATACTGTATGGATATGCGTTATGGAATAAACAAAATCAAGAATAATATCTTTGAATTCTATTGTTTTTTGCTTTTTTTTTTTCAAAAAAAGAATATGTTTCAGAAGGCCTTAATGAATTTCCAAATCCAGAATGTGCGTTTCATTGTGCATGTAAAAAAAAAATTTAAAAATTGGCTAAGGAAGTGGAAGCACTAATTCCAGCACGTTATAAAGACAGAGATGTAAAAATGTTTTCACAGCACTGCATTTGTAAGATTTTTTTTTTTCATTTATATTGTTTTACATTCATTTATTCTTGACATTGTCAGGCAGAGGATGGAACGTACACTGGATTCATTAAAGTGCATCTGCAGCTTAAGCGTCCTGTCAATGTATCGCACACCTCTCAGGCACCATCCATTTACACCAAAAAAGAAGTGTCATCTGATAAAGCAAAGGAAAAGATGACCCCCTTCAACGTACCACTGGATGCCATGAAGCAGTTACATATTAGCAGTGTCACAACAGTCAGTGAGGTCATCAGCGGTCTTCTACAAAAATTTCAAGTGGTGGATGACCCTCTAAAATTTGCACTCTTCAAGAAGATGCAGAGGGATGGACAAGGTAAACACAGCAACCACAATATAGCACAGCATGAATATTGTCCTGGATAAATCCCACTGCATGCTGTGTGGGCATATGAATGCAACTTGCAGTAAAAATAATTAGCATACAATTATATTACTGTATAAGACACTTTCTTACAGGTCTAATGGGCATTTTTCAGGCTACAATGTTTTTAGCAAAATCAGGTTCAGTAAAAAAAAGTCTATAGAATGTTAGGGGAGGAAAGGAAAACATTTGATCTAGGGGGCAAACACAGTTAACTGGACCTTATATAGTGGGCTACAGGCAGGCCTTACAGGCTAGGACAGAGGTCAAAGCAATTTAAAATACCCAATGAACACAATGATGCTGAGAAATGTTTAGAATCATATGCTCCAGAAATTTGAAAGAAGCATGGTGCATCAGTTTTAAGGTGTCAAAAAGCACACACATTATCATGGGAGGTTATTTTTTTTGTTGAGAAATCAGATCCCTCTGAATGACATTGTGCTGCCAGAAGTGACTGTAGAAATTTCTAGCTGGATGTACTTTTAAACCATTTCAGGTTTAAAATGTAAGAGGTATGTATGTACTAAAAATATAAACTTAAGCAGAGTTTCTAGGACATATCTATTGTGTCACCGCTATTACTGGCAGGGAATTGCTATATATTGCATAACAGGAGCAGCTCTCAAAATGTAGCCATTCCTGTGAAAGATGAGAATTACAGATAGTTTACACAAGTCATTGAGTAATACATTGTAACAATGTATTGTTACATTACCTCATTCATATGTACTGTAGATCAATGTGTAACCTTTCATCTGCATATGACATCAGTTAAATAAACCTAAAATTTAAAAAAACAAGTATTTAAAAAAAAAAGTTATATGTATTCTATTTTAACCCTTTTTTAACCCTTTGTTAACCCTAATCAGACCCCTTCCTACCATTCTGCTTTTAAGTTTTTTTTGTATTCTTTTATTTCTGGTCTTGCAACTATTATTCAAAGGAGAACTATGTGGTCAGTTACTATGAGGCGAGTGGAAATCACTCATCTCATAGTTCTCCTTTTAATATTGGTTAAAAAAAATGTGCAAATATGAAAAAAAAAGTATTTTAGCTATTTGTAAATAACTGCCATTAGTGAAAATTGCTCTGGTACTTACAGTACAATGAAACCTTTGTTCTGTTTTGCATATGTCCACTGCTAGCAAGCAGTAGATATATGAAAAAAAATATTTTAAAAAGGTTAACAAATAGGTAAAAACGTACCTGGGTCTCCGCCACTCGATGCTGTCTGAAGATTTTCGAGTGGCCGCGAAGGATCATGGGGCGGGCGCATGCAGCCATGCACAGTAGAGATCTTCGGCTGGGAGAAGAGGATAGACATAGGGTTAGTCAATGCACGCAGGCGGCAGCATGCACGTGGACAGACACCATGGGACCCGAGGAGTCAGTGCTGGATCAGAGATCAGAGACCGGCACCAGCGCTGGAGGGACTCCATAAAACTACTAGAAAGAAGATGATCGGATCAAGAGGCATCATTTAAGGTAAATCCTTAAAGCAGCATGAGGGGGGGGGGGG